CATGAAAGGAACAATAACAGGCAGGATCTAAGCACCTTGAAGCAGCTTTTCCGAGGACAAATTAAAGATCTTTAATGCTGTTCTATGCCAGCATGTCTAAACAAGGATCTCCCTTTCCCCATGCTGGCCATGGATCTATGAAAGCCAGAGAGAGAGATCCACCGAGAAGCATTTAAATATTGTCCATGCTCCATGCCTCTGAAGAAGCATATAACCATGGAATGATTTTTAATTAAGACAACTGGGAGCCATACAAAAATAAATTATAAAACTGTTGTTATAGGGGAAAATATCTGTAATCAATAACCTAATCGGATTGTGAAAGAACATATTGCACACTATGACCTTTCAACGCTGTTGCATGGGTTTGAACAAACACCAAAAAGGCAGCTGAAAAGGTCCCAGATGAAGACACCCCAGGAAATATGTTAGTAGGACAGAAGCATCAAAGGCTTGCATTTAGTTTAATCATACATGTACTTCACGGATGCTTGTACTTATTCAAAACTAGTGTACAGTACAAAAATACTGTACACAGGCATTTTAACTTGTGCTCTGAAAAGCCCTGTGAGAAGAAGAAGCCAGTTTCTGTCCTCTGTGGAGTAACATATAGCCTGGGGTTTTGATGACAATGCATAGCCTCCCTCTTACACTTTTAACTGAGGAAAACCAATCACTCCACCCCCCAGAGGTAGGCAAAAAAGCACTATTCTGCTCCATTTAACAGACAGAGAAACTGAGGTGGAGAGTTGAAATGGCTGGGCCCAGACTGCAGGACTAGTCGATGTGAGCACTGGGGTTAGGATCCCTAGCCAATTCAGGGTTCCTCATTCCCATTTTATGCGAAAGCCCCTTTTCTCAGCATTAAGGCATAGCAGCACATGCAAATTACTGTGTCACCCAGGTCTCTAGACCTTGTCCATCTGCCCAGCAGCCTCCAAATCCAACGTCAAGAACCTCAAAGGAGCTGCTCCCAAGCAGTTGAGCACTGAGGACCCTGTGTTATATATACGTCATCCCTGACCAGGGTATTCTTACAGTCAAATTTTACCCACCACCAGTGCCTGGAAGAAAATTTGAAACATAAAAATATGATATCCGGCAACATTTCCTGAATGCAAACATGTACATTCCACGGAGCTGAGAAGATTATATTCCAAGCAATAATACAAAGCCAGGGTCTGTAATGATGATATGAGACTAACGGCATTCCGTTGAACCCCGTGAAAAGTATAGTAGAGCTCTCTAGGGGCTCCGCTTTGTCAGATTCCTTTTACTTCTCAGCAGTGCGGCCTTGATCAACTTTCATGATTTTTGTTTGTGAAAGGTTTTTATTTCTCTCTCACTTTTTTGTTCACATGTCAGCATCAGAGTGAAGGGCAGATCTGCAGGGGGACTGGGATTTAGCCCCTAAGACATTATTTACTCTATTTCATCAGGGAGGTGGGGAGAGGGGTGGATAAAATACACATTTTCAGCCTTAAAGGAACATGCTGCCTGCTTGCACTCAGGCCGACGGACTCAAAGCTCACAAGATTCAGAGCCCCCACCACCAGGCAGGGAGAAGCCATTTCTGTGCTTGGTGCATGATGTGGGGAAGCTGACTGAAGGCTGATATTACCAACCCCTCTGAGCATGAGCAGGAAGTGTTTTTGCTTCGCGTCTGTACAGCACCAACCACATGACCTTCCCTCTCTGCAATCAGGACCCACGAGCAAAATCATTGCCCAAAAAATGATCCATGAGGCTGCCGCTATGGGAGTCCAGTGGAAAAGATGGCCCAGCAATGTCCAACCTGCTATGAGAAGGGGTCTTGTGGTAGGACTCAGTGTATCAGGGTTCAGATCTCCCACCTTGGGAGAGTCACCTCATCTTTCTGTGCCAGAGCTCATCCAGCTACAAAGCAGGGAAGGGGGTAACAATCCTTTTCACTTGCCCTTGTTTCTGTTTCCTGTGTATAGACAAAGATCTTTGGGGCCCAGCACATATACCGCAGGCCACACCTACTGGCCCCCAGACTCACCTTCAGCCCTCACGCACTACTGCAGCTCAGAGGGTTTGTCCATGTTTCGACCACACCTGGAAAGAAGTTCTCTCCAGTCTGTAACTCACCTTCACCAAGGAGGTGCCAGCATGCCCAAACCGGGGGATTTGGATTCCCCACAGCTCCAAACAAAGTTCCGGTTTTGGTCCACTGGCAAACGTTATCATTGATTATCAAGCTGTCAGATGGTTGGGGTGTTTCCGCTGACCTGGGTTCCAAAAGAACCGAGGCACCGAGCCACAAGGCAATAAATCGCCACCAGGCCCAGGACAGGCCCCTGCACCCACTGATGTCTGCAGGTGCTTCCCAATGTCCTTAATGAGAGAAGAGCCAGAACACACTTGGCCTCCACTAGCAGTCAGAGAGTCTTTCCCCCTTGATCTCTCCAGTGGCAGAACAGGGCTGGGGAGAACAGCTGTCACTGCGGTTTCCAGAGAGGACTGAACCCTGGGCCTCTACAATGAGAGCAGAAAACTTAAGCCCCTTAGCTGGCACCTCTAGACTTTCTCCTCTGTAAATCCAGCTCACCAGGGAACACATCATACACACTGAACAGTAGAGTACAAGAGCCTGTGATTTTTACTGTGCCCATGTTGTCAGCCCTCTGCAGGGCAATCCTGGGCAAATGGTTCCTGTTAAGCGTCAGGAAACTGCTGCGCGAGGCAGGTGGAAGACAGAGTATTCTGCATGTGGCTTTGTGGCATATGGCAAAGAAGCGTGAGAGAGCCGTGCCCAACGCCAGACGACAGCCTGAAGGAGCTTCAAAGCAATTAGTTTCCATTGCGATTTACGTTGAAATATGATTGCAAAAGGAGATGCTACTTGGGGGGACATGGGAACTGAGCAGCACTGTTCAGCAATGATCTGCTATCCCACAGGTGATCCCTCTGGCTCTCACGTCTCCTGTTTGCAGATCCGAGCAATCTGAGGCTCTGCTTGCATGTCAGCCACCTCCCAGCTCATAAATGACAAAACTACTCACCAAAAGTGCTCTAAGGTTTATCACCGGGAGACTTGACGAGTTAAAGATCCAGCTGCTCCTCTGGCATAGGCCCAAACTCTGTGATTCTTGAATAATGGCATTGCTTACGGAAAAGCTGGGTTTTCAGCAGCCATCCCAAGCTTTCAGGGATTGTTATATACAAGCAGGGCAGAGTCCCTTCTCAGGGCTGCCAGCCACCCAATTCCACTGCCCAGAAGGGAGGAAAGGATTTCAACGATCAGTGTTTCAGGGGCAGCAGGGCCAACTGTGGACCTTCTGAGGCATGCTGCCTGGCGCTCTCACCCTGTCCCTTAGTAGATGCCAAAGGTGTTCACAAACACAATGGATGTGGTTTGAAAGAAATCATCATCTCTCCAAAGGGGCTGTGGGTCTCTTTCAATAGCTCTATTTTTTTCCCTACGGGGCCAGCACCTGGCAGTGCCCCCTGCCCACTTCACGTCCTCGTCCCCAGGACTGGGCCAAGCCATGCTGTATATTTCAATGGCACCTAGCTGAACTCCACATGCCCCCCTGGGTGGCATGCAGGCAATCTGCAGCCAAAAAAACATGCCCTCCCCCCATTCTGTGCAAACCACAGATACATACACTGCTCCAGATGTCGTTAGCTGCTACCGGGGCTAGGGCAGACCTCAAAATCACAACCAGACAGACAATTAAAACCACGGCACTCAGGAAAAAACGAGCAACAAGGGCAGCGGTTCTCAACGCCGTGGGATAACCGCGATCTGTTCAGAGCACTGCAACAGGACACAGAATCACTGTCCCAGGGCCTGCTCCATCATTTATTTTCCTCCGTTCTTATTTTTTTTTTTTTGAAATTTCATTCACTCTTTGACATTTCCATTTTTCTCCCGCCAGCTCCCACAACAGACCATCTGTCTTGTGTTGTTAGCTTTGCCCCCAAAGGCAACAATACACTGCAGAGTAAATAAGACTCACGGCCTCCCCATTACCTGCCTTCAATAACCAAATGAAAGACAGAAACTGTGACCTTCACCAGGACTTTGCCGGGGGATGGGGAAGTGCCGCTGCCTGAGCCGTCCCAAGCAGGGTGGAGAGTCAGTGCGGCTTCAGACCATGGCACAGAGGGGCCGGGAATGATGGAATAGCCTCCGTGTGACTTAATGCAACGCACTCCTTCGGGACAGGGGATTTGCTACTGTGAGGTCTCTGTATTTTTCTCCTCCCAAGAAAGGGTCGATTAGCTTCCCTTTCATTTAAGCACCATTCCTCTGAATATTAGATTGCCGCCTCTGCTCCACACTCCTCTCTCTCTCACTCCATCCTCCCTCCCCACCCAGCCAAGTGTCCACACAAGGGCAGCCACCTTGCACGCAAGTCTGCAACTTTCTTCCCACCCCCACAGAGAAGAGCTGTAAGATGAGTCTCCATCTTTAGATGTGGAATCTCCACCTTGGGGGTATTTAAGGCCCAGGTAAGACAAAACCTTGGCTGGGATGATCTAGCTGGGGCTGGTCCTGCTTTGAACAGGGGGCTGAATTAGATGTGATCTCCTGAGGTCCCTCCCAACCCTCATTTTCTATGATTCAATGAGTCACATTGCTGTGCAGGTTCTCAAAAGCAGGGAGGCTGGGCTGGATTCACCCTGGTCACACCTCCCAGCTCCAGCTAAACCCCTCCCAGATTTCACGGGTGGAGAGTAAATTTAAGCTCTAAAAACCCATCAGCTCTTCAGGGACAGAGTTGCAAGGGCAGGCACATGCAAAAATCAACAACCCAGTCCTGATGCACGCTGGCTCTCCAACCTGCCTGAGCCCCAGGTACCTCCCCCTGATTTGTGGCCCTCAGCTCTTGGTAGACCATTGGCTATGCCTCCAGCCAGCTGGCAGAACTCATGCACACACTTGAACACAGCCAGTCAAAGACCCCTCATACTGATCCCCCAGCTCTGCCAGGGCACAGACACCCAGACAGGCCAAGCCCAACACTTACTTGCTGCCTGAATCCTGGCCTTCCGGCTAACCACCAGGCCGTAGCGGTTCTGAGCCATGCAGTCGTACTCTCCCTCGTCAGACGAGCCATCCCCCCGGAGCTTCTGGAAGTGGGAGACGTAGAGCGACCCGTTGGCCAGCATGAAGGTGTTCTCACTGTCCACAACCATCGCCCCGTTCTTCCTCCACGTGATGGCGATGGGCTGGATTCCTTCCACCTGGCAGTAGAGTATCAGGGGCTTCTCTTGGACGGCTATGTCATCGCTGGGCTCCACAACAAAGGCCAGCTCCGTGGAAAGACCGAAATCTGGAAGGCAAAGAGAGGTGCCAAGGAAGTCAGTGATTCATCTCTCTGGGGCTCCCTGGCTAAGGTTTCAGCAACACCGGGGCCCAACAAGCAGATGGACTCATCGGTGTGCGAGCGCCTCACTCAGGCACTGGTGTCTCCTGGGTCATAAAGGCTCGTTCACCTCATGGCCCCTGAAGGAGGAGGGAAGAGGACAGGGATGGACGGATGGCTAAGTGAATGGCTACTGGAGTCAGCAAGGAACGGCCCACAGGACACAACCAGACACAGCTCCCTCAAGGCATTGAAACAGATGGGAATCTGCTGTCTGATAAGGCTTGGGAAACCTCAGCCACTCTGCAACTGCCACCAGGGAACAGGCCATTCATACCCAGTGGGCATTGCCCAGATAGTTGGCAGCAACTGTTCTCCTCCTCTGCCAAGACATATCTCCTCCTCTCTCCTCTAGCCATAAAGAAATGGCCATGCTACCCCACTGTGGCTTGCTCATGACCCGGCCTGGCTGGGTCACATGCCCCTGCTTTGGGCTGTATTACTTCTAGGATCTTAGGAGTGGAAGCCCCTTGTTCTGCAGAGGGGGAGGCTGAGTGCTGTTACCACCTAGCGCATGTGCCAATGTGTTGCATCGGTCTGCTTCATGTCACAGCAGTCAAGTGATGCTGCTATTAAATTCTTAATGAAGAGCAAGTTAAGCACAGCAATGTTAACTCGCAGCCTTACAGAGCAGAAACACAAAGGGCCTTGTGAAAGCCAATTATGCTAAACGATGTCTACGGAAGATCAGTTAATGTACAATTTACTCTAACAATAGGCCAACCCAGGCTTCGCACCATATAGATACATACTAATTTTTCCCCTTTGCCAACAGAACGTCTAAACACTGCATCCTTTGTATTTTCTGCTTCATTTAGTCCAGCACACCTTTTTTAGGGTATAATTTGCAAGGTGGCTTTGATTATAGACTTGAAGGGAAGGTGGGAATAGGCCTGCAATTTAAAGATTAGCCTAAAATAAAAGTTTATCAGCTGACCTGAAATGAAAAAGGTGACCAAGGAAGGTGTGAAAATGTGAAGGGTGTGAATGCCTGGATGGGAAAGAATCTAGTAAAGTGGTGGAGAGGAGGGATAGGTCCAGGGCACTGAGAAAAAGAACAGAAATAAGCTAAATGTCAGGAACTCTCCCCAAGGGTGCCATGAGAGCCTACATTTTGGACATGCCTTCAGACACAATTAGAGGTGAAGTCAAGAACAATCCTGTATTCCCAGGAAAGGACAAGATCAACAGTGTCTCTTCTATCTGCCATTTCTAGGATTCATGGACCAGAACAGCCCTTCCTAAGCTGTGTTTGTAACACAACTGGAGCCCATCCATGTGCCAAGTGGGGGAAAACTTCCCCATCTTGCTCATTCAACTCCCTTCTTGCTCCATCTGTTGTGAAAAGGAGTTCTCGTGGCTTTTAGTGGCGACCATGCAGGGGACTCTATGGACTGCTTGAATAATAGCTCCATGCAGCCTCGCATTACAAATTAAATGACAAAAGTCACTGAAAAATTAGACCAGATCTAGGTAACATTTCTTTGGTAACTGGCTCCCTTCAGATCTGCCTGCAGTTCCTCTAGTGCAAGGGAAGGAAAGAGGATGCGGTGTGATCTAGTATAATGCCGCCAGGAAGCACAGACAGGACCGTTTTCTGTGGCCTGTCACCATCATGAATGATCAATCTCCATTCCTCAAATCCTGGAAGCATGGGACAGGTTTCCAGTGATATTAATCAACCGGGCCAGCATTTAATCAGCAACATCCTGAACAGGCAGAGTCAGCAAAGCACAGAACGCACTAAACCCAGCCCCCACCGAAACCATGAGCAAAACTCCCACTGACTCGCAAGGAAGCAGGAAAAAGAGGCAGCAGCAGCTATAGGTCCTCGCTCATAAGCCTCAGCTCTGCCCAGGAAGGGCAGCATCTAGGATGAAGAGGCATGTTCAGCCTCCATGATCTAGCAGGACCACTGCCGTGAAATCCCTGGACCCAAACATGACCCTACAGTCACGCTCATAGATATCAGAGTAGCGACCAAGTCAACTTCATTGGTGACTTCCCACTTACCATCCTCTCTAGCTAGTGCTATAGAACCAGTGATGGCAACCACTGGCTCCAACCCCTACATAAAGCAGGGGAACACCTAATCATCTACCCCAGGTCAAGCACAAACCATTAGCCCAACCAGCTGTGAAGATGTCAGCCCAGCTGGCTCAGTCTATGAGAACATGGAGCATTCACTTGTCAGAAAGAAGCGCACCACCACGGCATCGAGTCACTGTAATCCACCAGGCCCTATGCACTCAATTAGTTTCCTCCTGGCTACAGAACAGATAATAGGAAAATGAAGGGAGAGGGCAATTTTGTTCAGTTGGATAAAGATACACAGGCCAGCTGCTAGCATGGTACGAGAGCCGACCTTAGGAAAAACAGCACCTGGGGTGAACGTGTATATTGGTGCCACCCCCGCCCCCAACAGTGCCCAGCCTGGCTCCTCCTGGGCAGTGGCTGGAGGCAGGGGGCAGGCTGGGCTGGGCACCACTTCTTCTGCCTGGAGCAGGGATTGGCCAGGGCAGGGGGATAGCGCTGCTGCGAGCACAGGCTGCTCACTCATGTGTGCGCACGTGCCTGACTGCAGCACCCTGGGCGGTCGCCCATCCATCCCCAAGGCCAGCTCTGCTTGGTACCCAGGGAGCTCCCAATCATCCCGAATGGCAATGAACTCCAGAAGTAATCACAGAATCAGAGAAAAGTGGGGCTGGAAGGGCCCTCCACGGGTCATCTAGTCCAACCCCCTGCCTGAGGCAGGATCATCCCTGTCCAAACCATCCTTCATAAATCCACTGTCTAACCTCTTAGCAAATAGGAAATACACTACCAAGTCCTCATGGGCAGCAGTTCTCACTCCTTGGAATAATCCAAAAAGGGGGTTTCATTATTAAAATGGCTGACCCACTCAACAGATTCCCAAATCCATCGTATAAAGTGCTGCAGGAATTTGAAATTCTGCCATCAGATGGCTGGATGGAGTTCACAGCAGCTTTGTACGTGCATTTGTGAACCAAACAGAGCTCCACTGGGTAGGTCTAATATGGAGAGAGAATCCTTTTGGAGCACTGGACACTTATGGCCTGATCCTAAAGTAGCTCTTCCTCTCACCCGCAGGCTCCGAGGGGACTGGTCCTTCCTGAGCACTGGTTAATAGAACTAGACCCTGGTGGAGAGCTTGCATGGAAACCCAGCCACATCTTACCCTGTATCCACTGCAATGGTCTAACCCAGAACAGGAGCCTGTTGCACTCCTCACAGCATGCAGTGCACAGCCCTTTTTATGTCTTTTTTTCTGCTCCTTAAAAACAAATACGGAAAGATGACAGAAAGGTCCTATCTCTAAATAAAATGCCTGTCCTTTCTACTTTGCAAGCCCTGGTGCATCTGCTTCTCTCTCTCTCCTTTTTTAAACCTCTCACCCCTTTCTACAGCAGCTCAAATTAGATTACGGGGGATAAGCACGGGGTGTAACTCGAGAAGAGGCAGATGGACAGAGCAGACAAAGGCGCGGGGTTGCTGCGCAGCAGGTCAAAGGTGCTGCTGTAGAGGTATGAGCATGCACACAAAACAGGCAGACTCCATTTAGCAGCAGGCACCTAAAGTGACCCATGGTTTTTTCCACCATTTTATTAACCCATTAAGCGTCTTAAAATGTCAGGCTCTCCTCATCCACTGCGGTGATCTATCGGCCTCTCCAACTTCTGTTTATGAGACAGCCCCGGGGTTAAAGTACAGCCAGCACAAACCATCAATTAAGTTGCCGTGAAAAGTCAGGAACTGGAGGAATGCTCTGCATTTTTCTAGAGGGGGCCGTCATCGAAACAGCATCGAACACAATCTCTGCAGAGACTGAGACCCCAATCTCTGCAGCAGCTGGTAAGCTGTTCTATCATTTTAAAAAAGAATAGTAATAATACAGACTCTTACTCATTCAGCTTCCCCACTGAGTTTAGTGGGAATCTGGCCTGAGTAAAGATCGCAGTGTTTGACCCAAGAGGCAATCACTGGGGAAAAAAAAAAACCTAATGAAATAAATTCCCCATATCCCCCCTTTATTCTGGCATAAAATAGCTTATTATTATATGTACAATAAAGAGAAGAATCAACATAATTACATACCCTTCCCCACAATGGCTGTCATTATAATAACCATCATTAGAGGCTGTGATTGGGAATAATCATGTTTACCTCCATAAACATTCTGCCCGGATCTTCGTTCTAAGGCTGCTTGAGCAGGAAGATGGATGGGGCTCCTGATTAAACCTGTTGCTCTTAGGCAAGAGCTGGCTCGGGCTACTGTCTCCTGCTCCATGCCAGGCTGGAGGCACCCCAGGGTAGGACACAACCTCCAGACACCTCCACCCCACCCCAATTCCTCCTTGCTTTACAGGCAGATTTGTCCTAGCAGCCATGGAATCTGCTCTGTTTTATCTGTGCTGCCTGGCACTTCAAGGTCAGCGTAGCTCTCTACCAACCCCAAGAAATGGCAGACATACCAGCTGCTTGTTGGAAGATGGATGATAAGAGTGGTTAGAGTGCCAGCCTGGGACTCTCTGCTCTGGCACAAGGTTCCTACATACCCCCAGCTAGGCCAGATATTTCAAAAGCCTATTGCAGCACTTTGTGGGTTTCCAAAGGAACCTAAGCACTACATTCTCATTTGAAGCACCCCCATTCCCCTGGCCACAGTCCCCTCTTTATAAAATGGGGATAGCTCTGACCTCTCTCTGGTGGTACCAACCACAGACACCAGGGACCAACAGACTCTTGCAGAGGCTACTTAACCTCAAGCTTCCAGCAGAGAAGAGAGGCAAGACAGCCTGCTGTTATCTATGGACCACGCTGCACGGCCTCATGGGATCCGCGCAGTGCACGTGTTGAAAACTGCTGATGCCCCATAAATTAACAAG